TTTCAGTTCTAGAGGCTGAGGACTGAACACCCCGTGCTACAGGTGGAGGCTGGGGCAGGGACATCTGCCCACCTTCACCACTAACAGCCTCTACAGCCAAGTCTCTGTTATCAGAGCCATCAAAACACATCTCCCTTACTGCAGGAGCGTGAACCAGCTCTGCCACTTGTTTAAGGGCAAAAATTATTTATTTTATGACCTCACTGAACTCCTGACTGAAACACTGACATAGTGGGATTTTAAAACAAACTTTCTTCTAGTAACATTTGCACCAGCTCAGAAAATCCCACGCTATGTGCTTTGACCACATCATGAAAAAGGGCTCATTCTGGATGCTGAACAACATCTCCTGCTTGAGAGGAGCATGTTTGCTTTCTGGCAGGACACAGCTTTCACACAGCAGACACAAGCATTTTTACCACAGCAGACACAAGCATTAAGAATGGATTCACGCGGTCGCGGAGGCTGAATGTTACCATTAGTGGGACAGTACCAAATACAGAAGATACCCTGTCTTAAAAATCTTTATTTTCAATGCAGAAACCGAGCATAATGACAAGAAACCTTTAGGGAATATCACAATTTCTATAGCTTGTGATGCTAATTACAGCCATTATCAGAAAGTCTAAAAAGTTCTGCCTTTTTTTTTGTTCTCTGCTCATGGTGGCTGAGCTCTGAGATGAACTCAAGGTGCAGTAACAATGCTAAGCAAAAAAACTCCTCAAATCCTAAAGCCCATTTATTTTCAAACACTACCTAACGTTTCTATAAAAGCTCAAATAGCCCTCTCCTACGTACATACACACACATAATCCAAGATAAATTATTTTCTAGAAGACTCATATCCTTTGAATGCACAGCAAAGCAGTGCAGCATCCCGATAATGGGGTTTGTTCATTGATTCTACATATTTAATTTTTTTTTTTAGATTTAGCTCCTTTTCCTCTCACCTCTTTCACCATCATTAATATGAAGAGATTTCCAGAGATTACCTGTGAACATTCATGTTCAACAAAACTTTCCACTTGCCTGCAATAACACAAATTCTTTGCTGGTCTTCTAGTTTTGGACTGGTTTTATCCCCAAAACTTTAATGAAATAAAAAGATCACCTCCTAAATAATTTACTGCTCTAGCTACAGGGTGTTCCTATGGCCCAAGGCTGGATCCAAGGGTTTATACCAGTTTACACTTCTACAGAAGCTGGGTGTGCTGAGGAGGGCCTGTGATCCATTGTCAGCATGACAACACAGGACACGCACATTCCGTACCCTGCTGAAGCTCCTCCATTAGAAAGATGAACAAAATCAGGGAGAGGAGGTCAGATGATTGTTTTAATACTTAAACCATAAATTAAACAGAGTGCTGGAGCTGGCTCTGCTCACACAAATGCTGCCCACTCACCCAGAGTCTCTGGTCACTGTTTCTCACTCACAGTCCAACCAGCCTCTCACCATGGAGCCCCATCCAAAGCTGAGGTGGAGAACCTGCCTTGCCAACTCACACATTACAGCAGATTGCCTGCTGATTACACCTTTCCTCTTCCAGAAAACAATTCCAAACAAATAAGGCATAGTATTTGCCTGGGACAGCTTCCACAAACAGTAAAAACCTCAAATAAAAACACAGGTTGGGAAGTCTGGCCAGATGAGAAGTCTCTTCCTCTCCTGGTGCATTTTTATATACATCAAAAGCTATTCTCACAGACTCTTGACATGTTAAATGTGAAGTATTTAACGGTCTACATTATCCTACCTATTTTATTTTGAATATTTCAATGCCCCTGTAGTGATCAGGGAATCTTCCTTTCTTCCTTGTAAATTTTTTATTAGGCACCTCCTAATCTCTAAATATTTAAAGCTTTATTTGTTTGACACACTGAATTAATTGACTATTAATACAAAACCTCCCACAAAGAAGCTGCAGATACAGTACCTCAAGCTGTGATTTCTTCACTTCTCACAGCCTAAGGCCTTGATTCTTCAATTACACACATTTATCTGTACTGTGGTGAAGAATCCCAATGGGACGACTCACACTAGTGAAGTTAATCACATTTGTGAAGATCCACGTCCCGTAGTTCTGGCTTGGGACTGCATTTGGATGAGACATCTTTAGGGAACTGAGATCTGAAGAAAGCAGCACGAGCAGTGCAGTGTTTGATTCTTCTCATGAATAATGTTAGTGTGATAAACCTGAGGGCAGAGGTGGTTTTATACCTGAAACTCAGATTGGGGAATGCCCAGGAATGGTTCACACCCACAGCCCCACCAATGGCTTCCTGACTGACACAACAGCACTGCAAACCTGGATGCCTCTGTCTGTCCACCCCTAAAATCAGGGCAATGACATGGATATATAGGACAAAAACTCTGGGGTGAATAATTTAAAGACATCTCCACTGTGTTTTTCAATCTTTATATGAATCCAATGGAAAATAAGTGATTATGAACTGTTTAATATCAAGGAATGAAAGCCCTGTGAGAAGCTATAAATCCAAAACTGTGAACCTATCAATCCTTCCTTAATTAATCCCACTGTCCTAGCAAGCTCAGTGCATTACATCTCCTAATATATTAAAAATCAAGCATCCCAGTACACTATTTAAGAAGGCAATTGTGACACAAAGTTTAGTGTGACTACTGAGTGCTTTTGTGAATCAGTGCACTTGAATCTTTTTGTCATCACTCCTGTTCTTTGTAGAGGGAAAGGGCTTTTCATCTGTCCATCACCCACACTCCTGACCTGTTGTTCCAGCACCCACACAGCTCCAGGGCAGCCTGCAGGGCTCAGCCCGGGAACCAGATGGCCCCAAAAGGAGGGTGGTGGGAGCAGGGAGCAGCAAGGAACACACAGGCCTGAACAGTCAGTACACCTAAACCCACTGGAGAAGCTGAACATGAGCATGTGAAGGCTCCAAGAGGAATCTGTAGCCCTGAGCAGCACCATGAGTGCTGCCAGCTCACACACATTGCATCCTTTACACCATGACCCCTGCTTCCTTCTGCCTGGTAATATATCCGTTTCCCAGCAACTTTTAGCAGATTTTAACCTATGCTCTGTGATTGTTTCTGATGTGTATTGGTGGAGGGCTCACAGAAGTCACCCTTTCTCCCACACCCCCTGGGGATGCACCAGCTGCTCCAGGACCCCGCCTGCAGAAGCAGCAGTTCCTCTGTCCCAGCCTGTCCCCACAGGTCACCCGGGGCATGGATTGTCGCCATTCCCACGCTTGCAGAGTCACCTCAAGTGTTACTGTGGGAAACCTGGTGAGCAAGGGAATGCTCCTCCCCATCACACCCTGGGATACCTCACTTTGTCTGAGGGACAGCAGGACATTTTCCAGCTGGACTTTCCCAAGTGTAGGCTCCAAGTTCTGCCCTCTGCAGAGAATGCTCTTCAGAAACACCTGTCCCTGAACACTGTGCGTCTCAGCACAGGCAGCCTGCAGTGCCCATCATTAACTGCACTCCCTTCTACGCCTGTTTTATTTCTCACACATCCCAGAGACACAAAAACATGTTCTGAGTGTCATCAATCTATAACTGGGCCAAACTGGCTGTTCAGGAAAAATCAAATTAATGTGAACGCTGATGAACAGCAAATCTCAGCTCGTGCACACGTCAAAGGACCAAAAATACTGAAAAAGGAGGCAAATTAAAAAAAAAAAAAAAATCGAAGTTTAGATTAATTCTTAGAATGAGGAATCTTTTCCATGTTATATTTATGAACAAAAAAAATCTTTGCATTGATGTTTTAAGCCACATAGTACCACTTTGCCAGTGCTACTGTAACTTCACCACAACTAAAAGCAAATTGGATTATTTGGAGCTTCTGTTACTAATCAGACATAGATTGAAAAATTCTTAAACACAAATTCAACAATTCAAGGAAAGCAAGCTGACTTAATGAGAGCAAAGTTACTACACAGCATTGATATTTTCTGAGCCTTTGTACACTAAGCTTATTCAAGGCACAGCAGTTTTACTCCACAGGCTACTCACAGACTCTGGCTGGACAGTATGCTGAGTGCCATTTCTAAACTTGGGTGCTGCTCCTAGAAATCACAGACCTTTACAAGCAGGTGTGAGGTGTAAATTGATATTCTTGTTTCAGTGCATTGAGAGTAACTTCTAGTAATGACTGCTGCAAATAAACACTTTCTTTTCTAGGTGAAATCAATTTCCATTGCTTTTTAGGCACCACTGAGCTGTATTTTGGTATGGGATTTGGGGAGTTTAATATATATGTAATGCTGGCTGGAATTATGAAAAGTTGCTACAATTTTAATGCTGGTAGAAAAAAAATGGCTTCATTCTTTACTGTAGTCAGCTAGCCTGGTTTGAATACAGAATACAGTAAGAAATTATCACCACATCAACACTTAATAACACAAATCCAAAGTTCTTCAAACTGTCAATTTAAGAATATATGGAGCCTCTGTGACAGACATGAGACCTGACCACATGGTACACAGTCCAGCTTTAAAGAATAACTCCACTAAATCTGCAGAAATGTTTTCTTTTGTTGGTGATTAATTTTTTCCCTACCCCCAAGGGAAACTAATGGGAAACCTCTTTAATTATTAGAAGATATTAAAAACTATATTACAGTATCACTATGTGAATACAGAACAGATTTAGATGACAACATTTCCAGGTTTGCAAAATACAATATTTCAGAAAAATAAAACTTATTAGAATATGTTCTCATCAAGCCTGGTCACCCAGCTTATGTTTGCAGCTCTGCTGCTGGTTTAAGGTGGGACTTTTAGCAAAACAGTAACATCTGTTTCCCCATTTGTAATTGGCAGCTACCAAAATGTCTCTTCCTCATACAACTGAGGACACACAGAATCAAGTCAGGCTGTGGTGCTGGAGCAAAGACATGCCATGGAGACAGATACTCTGTGGATTAACTTTTCTGTTTGTAAAATGCAGGGTATCAACAGCAGGGACAAGAAAATGAGCCCTTGGAAAAAGACAGAGTGAGAGCAGAATGTCTTGCACTAAGGTTATGTATTTAACAGTTTTACATGAAATAGTCATATATAAAAACTTTTTAAGTGCTTTTCTCCAATTTAAAAATCTAAAGAATTCAAAAATAAGGCATTCAATATTTGAAAAAGTACAGATTTACAAAATGTGTATATTCTGTCATGAAAACTCCACACCAACATTATACACTTGGAAAAAAAATACAAACAGGATATATTACAAATTTATGGAGCAATAACTTAGTTCTCACCATGCAATAAAAAGGACGTTAATTGAGATACACAAGCTTTTAGCTTCCCCTAAACTGGAGGGCTTAATTTTGTTTGCAAATGAGTTTTTATGCAAATTCATAGAACTGTGGCACTTGAAATTTCTGGTAGCCTTTCTATTGAGAGTTAAATTGTACATAATGATTATGAGGATGGAGAGTAACACAGCAGCTGTTACGAATCATTCCAACTTTGTTCGACAATAGCTGAAACTCTTTTCTCATATTCACGTTTGTTCTCCTGGTAAAGTTGTGCTGCCTGACTGTTTGCTGGACTGTTTGGATTGGGTTCATCAAGCAGAGACTGGAAAAAGGGGAAAATATAATGTGAGACAAACCAACACATTTAAATAAAGAAAAAATCAACTTACTTTCAAGTCAAATGTGTTTCAGAGGCAGACACAACTCAGAATGGCCCAGTTAAAAAACCTAGTTAAACTCATAGTTAGGCATCCCTAATTACATTACTGACACTCAAATTACACCCTGCCTAAGCATCAGTGCTGTACACACTTTTAGCTTCACGAACCAGAGACAGTTTGTGCTAGTCAGCACTATGGAGCTAATTGACTATTTGGTAATTACATTATACTGTCATTCAGGACTAAAGAGAGGCTAAGATGTCACCTACAAAACATCACTGCTGAAAAATTAGAACAATCACACAGGAGCAAAGGAACTGTGCATTTCCACTGTGCCAGGCCATTTTTACTTATCCCAAGTAGTGCCCTTTCAGCAATATTGCCCCTTTTGAGGGCTTCACAGTAAAGTTAAATGTTTCAAACACGAGGCAAATTTCTGCATCGGATATCCTATCTTGAGTAAAAACAGTTAAAAATGAACACAAACCAGTAACTGCTTTCCTGTGCAAAAATATACTATGGCAGTTTCACAGCTCAGAATTAGTAATTATGTAGCTTCTTTGTCTTTATTCGATCTAAAAATATTGCTGAGCTCATAAGGATTTGAAGCTCCCCTTGAGACAGATACCTGGCTATCCCCATCACTGAGCTGTGAATTCTGGAATAGAGACCAACAACAACATAATTATTTGGTAAAACAGATGCAAAGTTACCTGAATTGAAGTTAAAATAGATGAAACATCATATGTTGGACTCCAGCGATTCTGAAGAATATCTAAACATATGCTGCCATCTGCATACACTGTAAATACAACACAGGTATCACTTAGAAACTGTCAGATTTATGGCACTGTTCAGGCAGAGTTATTGCTCCAATTCAGTCTGTGCTTAAATTAATGCTTTAGGAAAGAGGAGAGCAGTTTGTCTCACCATCTCCTGTGGCTTGACACATACTTTGAGATTTATTACTGGAATTAACAGAACACCTAAGAGGGAAAGAAGGAATGTCTGAAGATTACGGCATTAGCACAGGAAGGGGCAGACTTGGTGTCCTGCTCCTCCAGTGTGACTGACCCACACTGTCACAGTGGAGATCCCCCCAGGGAGCAGCAAGGCCTTCACTGCAGGAGTGGAACCACTCACACCATCACACCACGAGCAGGGGCAGCTCCTACCCCATCTTCACACACTCACTATGAAAGGCAGCAAGGCAGACAGTAGAAAATATGGAAAAGTGCCTGAAATCCTACTTCTGTCTGGATACCTATCAGTCTTAGGGAGTTCACACGAACCTGAGACTCACTGCTCAAACTTCTACACCCTTGTCTTCCGCTTGTTCCCAACAAATTACAGACCTTGTGGCAGAGACAAATTGGTCTGCACAGTATGTGGGGTATAATTTCTACAGAGGAGAAGCAGGCAGGTTTTTTTCTGCACTCAGCAAAACCTATCAGTGCTGGGGGAAGCAGCACAGGGCATTTTCATAGCTGCCCTCACCACTGAGATGGGGTCAGACACCTCCTCTATGACTGAGCATCCTCATTTTCTTCCCTGTGCTAGTCCTGGTAGGCACAGAGCACCAGATGAAAGCTGGGACTTGGGTGAAACCTCACCTGGCAGGAATAATGAACACTTGGCTCCAGCAGTTCCCTGCAGCTCATGCTGTGGCTGCACAGACACGGCTGCTGTTAAATGGAAGGGGGCAGGAATCTGCAGCCAGAACTGCCTCTTTAAACCAACCTAAGTGCAGCTGCTGCTGCTGAAAATACTCACAGGCTTTGCTACTGAGGCTACATATTGATTAGTAAGAGGCAGATAGCTGCTTCTTAATAGCATCATAACTCTCAATTTTTCGTCAAGCAGTTGCTGTCTTAGACATCTACTTAGGAGATGGCACTGAAGAGAGATTAAGCATTCTGGAGCTTCAGAGAATGCATGACCACACTGTAATATTTAATGAGTATTACAGCTAAATAAAGATGATTTACTCACCATTTGGATGGAACATTTTTGATAAAAACCTAACAGTTGGAGGCTTATTTGGATATTCTTCGGAAAATTCTATTACTAGTTTAAAAGTACCTGTCCAAACAAAGATAAATAAAATCAGATTACTAACAACAAAAAAACATATCCAGGAATATAGACAGCAAATTAATTTGTGTGCTTCATGACCAGTATTTCTCCTCACCATTATCTAAAAAAACAACACTGAATTTGATTGCTTTTCATATATTTCAAGTGATAATGGAACTATGGAACTACTGCTTAGAGTAACAAACCCAGCAGTAGTGGCTGGGTAGGAGTTTGGAGACACACTGCATACATGGCAAAGGCAGCCTTATCCAACATTATCCCACTTTTCCATGACCCAGGTATGCTGGGTCCATGGACTCGGGTGACTTTAAGGCGTTTCATTAAGAAGGCATTGTGGTGCCAGCAAAGAAACACTGGAATTTCATAATCAGCAATCTCAGTCTTTGGAGCTCACAACTGATTCACTGAAAACCTTTGTTATGGATCAGTGAATAATTTACTGTAATTCCTCCAACACAACACAGAGAAAATCCCATCTGCTGCCAATTACTGCAATAAAACTATAATTATTAAACTCATTATTCCTCATATGCCTGAGGGAGGGTCATTACACACTAGCTTTCATGTTTATGTACAAATCTGGGATTCCCTCAACCTCACTGAGTTCTATATTGAGAACACCTCAAGGTTTTTCACCTGTTCTTTATTAGGAGAACAGTGATGAATCAAACATGCCAAAAAGATGGAACAAGGAAAGCTCTTACTGAGCTCAGCTAAAGAGCTGTGCTAACACACCTGGCAGTGTCAGGCCAATAAGCCCTGCTAACAGCTCTTGTGGGTATGTATCAAACACCCTTGACAGAAGCATTGCTTCCTAGCTTTCTAACCAACCATGAGCCAGCATGACGAGACACTGCTTAGATTAAGATACATATTTTTATAGCCCTCATTGCTTCACTTACTTGGTTTGTTTCAGATTACACACAGATAGCATCTATTATTTTTCAAAAGCAGAACAATGTTAGTACTGGCAACATTTATTAGAATGACAAAGGATACAAATTAGCAACTTACCATCTTCAAAAGGTGTCCCTTCTGGCCTGAAAGGTTTTAAAAAGAAACTCCAGTTAAAAGTGATCATTATCTACTTCCAGGCAGGCACAATAATTGTATATTTTCTTTCTCATCCTCTCCAAGATTCAGGTAGAAGCAATAATTTAAATTATGAGAGAAGCATCCATAGGTAACCTCTGAAAGCTTTGCTGTATCTAAGACATGTCCCACAGCCACCTGCTATTTGGGATATCTACTTTATCATCATCCCAAACAATACATATGCCTTTAGGTGACTAGTTTGGAACAAATGAGCAGATTATTAGCAAGCACACTTCAGCGTTATGAAAGGATACAAAATCACAAGTCACCTCCTCTTGCACAGAATATACAACTTCCCAGACAGATCCTGTACCTTGTCCTACTAGGATTCAATCCGATCACTAATACATCTGGATTTAATGTCTGAGAACATGTGGCACTTAGGTACTTTAAAGAAGAATTCTGCTCTTTCATAATACAGTAAAACCTAATTATTAAGCCACATGCAAGCTTTATTCAACAAAAAAGCTGAACAAATTTAAAATTTAATCTTTTTCCTTCTTAACCATTTCCCATTATCTGTGAAAAGAGATTTTTACTTTGGCCATTTTTTTAAAGTTTACTGACTTTACATACATGAAACAAGAGAATAACTAGAAACAAACATCAGGTTGTCATACTTAGCCCTCTAATACTGAATTTCATAGTGACCAAAAACTCTTACCCAAATATAACTGCATTCCATTGCATTATGTTATTCTCAGATGGTGCACCACTGACACCCACAGGAGGGTCTTCTTGCAATCTAAGAATTACAAACATAGAAAGACAAGTCATATATATGAAATACTTCCACCTGCAGATATAATTGACCAGTAATATCCACACTTTATAACTATTTTCTCATTCCAGATCAGAGAATACACAAAGCATTACATGCAGATTATCAATACTCTGAAAGACAGACCTACAAGGCAACGCACATCAAGATTTTCTCATGTTTTACACTGAGACACAAGGGCACAAGAGGTCTGATTAAGTGTTCAGGGAGCAAAGGATTAACTGTAAGAATAACTTATAGCACCACGGACAGCTGGGATTTATGGTGCTACACTGTGAACTATGAGAGAGCAATTTCTGCTGGCTGCCACAGTGAAGAGGAGCACAACCAAGAGCTGAAATCCAGGCAGTGGCACACACACAGGGCACTCTTGCTGGGACTCAAGGCAAGGGACCATCAGGGGAGCTTTTCCTGCACACCCAGATCTGTGTGTGAGAAGTGGCTAAATTTGGTATAAGCCTATTTTGACTGACAAGCTGATTGTTTCAAAAGGGAGCAAAGGGGAAACCTGTGTGCTGCTACTCCCTCTTACCAGCCTCACAAATGTGTTTATCTCTAAAGCAATTACGGGAACATTTAAAATTATTTTTAGTTCCTTAATCCTTGGACTAGGCAAAGCACGTTACTCACTAAAAGCTTCACAAACTTGAACCAGAAATATGTATACTGCAGCCAAAGGGCAGGATCCAAATGCCCCCCTCTGCCCATCACTGACCCACATTAAGGATCACAAGACCCTGACAAATGTACAGCAGCAAGCCCCAATCAATCCACCTGCTCAAACCCCCTCAGTGACAGCTCCTACTGCCTCACCTGTTTTACCTCCAGAGTTATGCAAGAATAAGGAAAATGCAGTGACTGCCCTTGTGTCACAAACAACTCTTGAGTGTTACCATGAGGTTTGATAATATCACAGCACACTCATAAACAAGTCACCACACAAAGCTCTGCAAACCAAGGGACAAATTCTAACTAAATGCCATATGCAGATTTATTGAGAGCTGTCAGCAGCACAGCCAGGCAATCCTCCCTGCACTTGCACTGCCTCAGCCTGGGGTAACACCACGTGTTGTCCAAGGATGCTGAGCAGTGGTGCTGCCCTACAGAGCCCCTTTAAACTCTGTGTTTACATCTCTGCTCTTTGAGCACACACAGTCCAGACAGCTGAGTATCAACAGCATAAACCACCTACTATTTTGGTCAGGGAAAGCAGGAACAGGACTTCTTGCTACGTGACAGCCAGGCTGCAGGCCAGCAGCAGTGCCTGAGCATGAGCCTGACAAATGCATCTGGGAGAGGACTCTGGTTTTTAGATCAACTTCAAAGCACGTGTGCACCCTACTTGTCACAGGGTCTAACTACAGAAAGGATCTGGCAAGGACTGCAAATGGAACTAATCCTGAAAGTCCTAAACAGCAGGGAAAATGTGGTTCGAGTACTCCCTTTTTATCAGCAAAGTAAACAAATAACCTTTCATTTCTTTTGGTTTATTCAAACAAATTAGAGGAGGTAAGAAATCTGCTGAACTCTTCTCTCTTGACTGCTCCTGACATTCACAGTATGCAAAAGCAGTTTATATTTAATGAAGTGAATCAGAGTTCACAGCACACTGTCTCTTATTTCAGTATGAAGTACAAGTAACAAAAGAAACAAATACATAACTTGCAGCACAAAAGAGCAGAGTAAAACAAAAACTGACATGAAAAAGTTACATAAGTTTTGGAATATCAAAGTTGCTATATATATGACAAATTGATTTGATTTACATTGTGTACTTGGTTATATTTTTCCACAGCTTTAGAGTCTTCTCTCCAGCCTTAACTTCAAAATTATTAAACCAGTACTTGTAGGAATATAAAGGCATAAATTCTGATTGCAGTCTTGAAAAATTGAGGTAGTGAGCCTGAAAAAAAATCACTGGTTCATCTGTGTAAGCAAATACAATAAGAAGTCTGAATATCCTGTTTTGATTTGAACAGGAATCAAGCAACACCCACTTAACAAACACCAACACTCACACAACAGCAGGGGAGGGCTCCACTTCCCAAAAACCTCCTACTGCTTCTAGACTCGCGAATCAGGCGTTTGTCGCTGTTGCTTTACGTGTAGCCACGTAAAGAAACTACAATACACGTCAAGTGTTTACTGATGTGTTTTCAGGGCCTGGTATAACATAGCTATGCTAAAAAAAGAGACACTATCAAAGCTGACTCACCTCCAAGTACTCCGGAGCGACCCAGTCTGGAGAACTCTTACTGTACATCCTACAAGGAAACCTCCCACCCTTTTCCACACTCTCTTCTAACTATGTTTACGTGTCAGACTGGAAATAATTTATTCCAGAGTCAGTGGTTCAGTCATTAACATTTAAAAGAGTGCAACTAATAACTGCTCCTTTAGCAGCTCGCATATATTACACAAGATTCCTCATGATTGCAAACTTTAAACACAGTATCACATGATTGTGCATAAAAACATTAAAGGGCATTTGGGGTCCTATTACACACAAACGAAGAGTTCGCCAATTCTCTGCGCTCCGTTTTCAGGTGCCTATCACAACAAACTTATTCTCAGAGAGACCCTGCGACCCAACAAGCCTGGAACACTTCGAACTCCGCCTGAGCCATTCCAAAGCCGGAGCCGGCGGGTTGCGGGCGGCACGGGCACGGCCCTGCCAGCCGGGCCCGGCGCCGGCAGCGCCCGCACCCCCGCCAGCCCGGCGCCCCGTCACCCCGCGCCCAGCCGCCGCTCCAGCTCCGATCCTCAGACGCCCCCAGCCGTCGGCGCCCGGCTGAGGCGGCTCGAACAAAGCCGGCGCTGCCCGGCGGGACCCCGCTCCCCCCGGCTCTGCCGCTCCCCTGCCCGGGGGGCTCGGTGCCAGCCCCGGGCCCGGCGCTAAGGCGCGGGGCAGCGGCGGGCCCGGGCCCCGCTCACCTCTTGAAGTCGCGCATCAGGCGGCGGCGCGCCGGGGTGGACATGGCGGAGCCGCGGCGCCGCCTCCCGCCCGCGCTCGCTGCGCGCCCGCACAAACAACCCGCAATGGCGGCTCCGCGCGCGGGGCGGGGCCAGCGCCGACCGCACCACTGCCACAGCGGGGGGGGCGGGACCGTACCATCGCACCGCGCGGGGGGGTGGGGGGAGGCGGTTCCGCGCTCGGCGGAGTTTGGGAACAGGCAGCGGACTGGGGGGGGGAGAGAATCGGGACTGCCGGGCGGGACTGGGTCCGGAAGGGGTCCGGGAGAGCCCGGGACTGGTCCGGGACATTGTCCGGGGGAGCCGGCCCTGCCGGGCAGCTCTCGGAGCGTTTCCGCCTGCCCGTGGGTCGGGTGGGATTTTCTCCTTGCCAGACACACCGGCTCACTCTTATTTAGCTGAACTTCTGCAAAATAAACAAACAGTTACTCGTGGTCAGGTTACAAGGTTGTATATTTAGGTTCTTACTTCTATACCGTCAATTCAGCCCACTCCCACTATTTGCAGTAACTGGATGTCTTAAAAATTTAGTTCTTATCAAAATTTAATTAGGGATAATGGTCCATTTTGCCATATGGGTCCCTCAGCATCTCTCGAAGTCCCCTCTAAATACAGACTGATGTCCTGGCTCTCAGCCCTTTTTAAAAATCCCATTACTGCAACAGACGGATCAGGTCTCTTTGAAGTCGTGACCCAGTTCCTACATGCAGTCTTGGAAGTTATCCCTGAACTTGGATTTGTGTGGTTTCATGTGCCTCCCTGCTTTTCCTTCAGATGATTTTAAGGAGGTCAAAACATCGTGGGACTCATAATGACATGACAGAAATAAGCACTGTCTGCGTCCCCTGCCCATTCCCTTTGCCTGCAGCCGTGCAGGTGGTGGAGCAGCATCAGCCCGGGGTTAACAGCACAAGGCTCGGTTCTGCCTTTCACCAAGTCAGCGCTGCAGCAGCACCACTGGCTGGCTCGTTGTGAAGAGGAATCTGTATTTCACACGGCATGGGATTTAACTCTGCAAGGATTTACTCAGACCACTTTAATCTAATGTCCCATCTTAGTGAAAATAGTCAGTGCCAAAAGTGAGGAATTCACACAAAACCTGGTACTGCAGGGGAGCAAGCTTTTCCAAAAGGCTTGGTAATAGCAAACTGTAATACCCCAGCCACTAAAACATTATTCCCCACACTGGTGAGGAATGGTTCCTGGCAAGCACTGCTCTCCTCTGGACTCTCCTCCTCCTCCTCCCACCACACACTTTCCCATTTTTCATTCCACTGCTCCTTTACCTTTATCCAGCTTTTATTTTGCTCCTGTTAACCCGGAAGGCAGAAAGCAATCTGTAAAAACCAATGCAAGCTTGGACCTGTACACAAGATGAAGGTCACTTAACAGCTTTAATTAATGCAGTATTAGCAGGCACTGCTTCAGAGCCCAGACAGGGCATCCCCTGTCCCCAGGGCAGCTCTCTGCCCTTTGAAGCCCGAGTCACCCTCAGCCTGTGCAGGCAAATAAACAAAAACCCAACACCAGCACCAAGCTGGAGTTGAATCTGAAACCCTTTGGTATTTCCACCTGGCTTGGGAACTTTTTCAGCAATATCTCATCAGGGACAATATTTCTTCTCCTCTGACACCACCGGGGAACAGTGTATTGATGTTATCTAGTGGGATATTTTAGTCCTACCTGGCAGTAACAGGTGTAGCTGGTAATTTTAATAATAAATTAAAAGCTTTTTTTTTTTTCATCTCCTCTGAAGAACCAGGTGCAATTTCTGTTCTGTTGATTGCATGGCACATATATGTTTTAAAATTAATATATCCCAAACTACTTAAAAAAAAAAATCAGTCCCAACTAACAATAAAAGATAGGCTCTGGCCTTGCAAAGGTGGTTTAATATGTCTCAAAATGAAATCTGCACTAAATATCCACTTTAGATTTGTATCTGCTGATAATTATTTCCAGTACTTCCTTGCTTAATGAACTTAAATGCATCACTGCCATTATAATGTCACCATGGGCATTTTAGTTCAAATGTTTTCAATTTATCATGTACTTGTAACCCACTGACTTCCAGAGATGAGTGGAAACAACAATTTCAACACTAACTTTGTCATTTGGTTCCCGGAGAGGTTTTTTTTCTGTGCAACCATTAAAGCTATCCACTGTAGCAGTGCTTCAAACACTTGTAAAAAATCCTTACACAGTCTGTGGTCTAGAACAGAAAGTAATGTGTTCCTTCTTGAGTAATACTGGGATGGATATAACAACGTCCTGATCAGGAAACTGTTTCAATTTTTATTTCTACTTTTTAAAAAAATGCCATTTGATAGGCCATATTTTATATTTTTATATACTGATATATTTATATTTTGTCATGTTTATACTTTATATATGTTTATATATTTATATATTTTATATTTATATATTTATTTTCTATATTTATATATTTATAACTTTTTATTTTTATTATTTGTATTTCTAATATTTTAATATATTTTAAATATGTTAATATTTTGTTTATATTTTAATTATTTTTATTTTAAAATATTAACAATACTTTTATATTTTAAAAATAATTTTGATTTTTACAGCACATTCTACATTAATCTTGAGTAAGTACAGGATTCTTGTGCAGCATTTGACAAACCCAAACAATTTCAAAGGTAACTGACCCATCACGAGAAGGTGTGTGTGAGCTGGGTGAGCTCCTGGTGTCCTGCCTGGGTGCTGCTGGGGGTGCTCCCATCCCGGAGCTCTTGGGTGTCCTCAGCCCCACCTGGCCATGGGAGAGGGAAAGCTGTGGTAGTCACATCTCCTCTGAACAGAGACATGGTTCTCTCCCAGGATTTTCCTGGGAAGCTGTGAGGAAGTTCAGAGAAGAGAATGAGAAACAATTCTTATCTCCATTTGCTGCAGCTGTTGTTGTGCACATGTGGAATGCATTATGGAGATTGTTTACCAGGGGGTGGTTTCTTAATTGGACACTGGGTGGTGTTTGGATTGACTGACCAATTAGGTCAAAGCTGTATGGGACAGTCTGTAAGGGTTATGAGCTCGTAATAGTACAATATAATATATTATAGCATAATAAAGCAATTGGTCAGCCTTCTGCAGTCATGGAGCCCATGCTAATTAGTCACTGTTCAGGGGACCGTGCTGTGACAGAAAACACAGCTGGCCATGGAGAGGGACAGCAGAACTGGCCATGGGAGAGGCAGCAGAGCTGGCCATGGGAGAGGACAGCAGAACTGACCATGGAGAGGGACAGCAGAGCTGGCCATGGGAGAGAACAGCAGAGACAGCCATGGAGAGGGACAGCAGAGCTGGCCATGGGAGAGAACAGCAGAGCTGGCCATGGGAGAGGACAGCAGAGACAGCCATGGGGAGGGACAGCAGAGACAGCCATGGAGAGGGACAGCAGAACCGGCCACGGAGAGGCTCCCCCAGCCCTGCAGCCCGGGGCCGTGCCGGACCCGCCCGTGGCTCCCCGGGCGCGGTGCCAGCCCCGGCTTGCATCACCGCGCTCCGCTCCCTCCCCGCGCTCCGCGGCGCGCATTGGCCTCGGCAGGGGCGGAGTGTTTGCTGCCCCCGGGCTGTGCCCTCCCAAACACCGCCGGGAGCCGCCAGCATTTCCTCGCAAAGATATTTCAGCATTGTGATAGGCATTTCCCCTAAAAGCTCAGTTTGAGTTCAGACCTCTGCCTGTGAAAAGTCCACAAGAATTTCAGTCTGGACATGGGTCAGGTTGGGTTTTCTCCTTGCCAGACACTCCAGCTCACTGCGATTTAACTGAACTTCTGCAAAGTACACAAACAATAACTTGTGGTCAGATTACAAGGGTATAAATTTAGATTCTTATTTGGATTCTTACTTCTATGCTTTGTACCCATTCCATTTCCACTCTTTGCAGTAACTGGATGTTTTAAAAATTTAGTTCTTATCAATTTTTAATTAGGAATAATGGCACATTTTGCCATATGGGTTCCTCAGCTTCCCTCGAAGTTCCCTCTAAATACAGACTGATGTCTTGGCTCTTGGTGGCACTAAGGAGACCTGGCACCAGTGTGAGTGTAGCCATCAATTTAAAAAAAAAGGGGGGGGGTGCAATTAAAATAACATACTTCTATATTGAGTTAAAACCAGCTTTGTAGTTACCCTAAAACTGCTTCTAATTATCAGCAGCTAGTAATGTAAAAATTAAATGGTAAATGGACATCAGTGTGAAAAAGTCTATTTTTACTGTGATTCTTTTAACATAGGAGTTCTTATCTATGATTTATTAGCATAAATAAAACACATTCAAGAGGATGTTTCTAAGCTGATGAAAGGAGCTGCTCCTTTCTTTACTGTATTCCTGGTGCTGCAGTATTGGTTCAGAGGCTGAAGATGCACCATGAAAAGTAATGTGGTAAATGTGTTTGAATATTGGAGAAAGGCTGAGGGAGCAGAAACAAAGACTTTTAGTGTGTTTTCAAATTAATGACAGTCTTTAGTTAAGCAAATTACAGTTTTTGTTTTCAGCCTTTTAGAGGAAGTCTCTATGAACTGAAATAAAAAGCCATGCTAGAAAGTGTTTTTCTTCTTTTACCAACAATGATTTCATCATAAGGATATTGTTAACCTGATTAATGTATTTAAGCAGAAAGCAAAAACTTCACTTAGTGTTGGAATTTATCAATCATGCAATTCTAGATGAGCTACAGTGTTATTTCCCTGGATTGGATAACAAAGAACTTAAAAATACCTTTTCCAGTTAGAACAAGAAATTGAGTACCTTCACAACAGTCATGAAAGAGCTCGTGACTGATTAATCATAAATAAAATGTTATTGCTTCTAGATCACACCTTTTCTTTATTGTTGTGATTTGTCATACAGATATCAAATGTGTTAATTTTTTATTAAGAACAAGGATTAGTTTTGTAGTTTAAAACTAGTTAGTAATGTAGTTTTGGTATGAAATTGCCTGCACAATTGGAACATTGGACTGAATGACTGAAGGAGGTCTTGGGTAGCAGCAGTGCTGCTCCAGAGAATTTGAACCCTTCTCTGAAATTTGGAAGAGCCAAAAGTGTTCAGTACTTTGCAGTCCCACCT